CTAGAACTGAACTAGAACTGAATTGAACAATAATTGATCTAGAACTGGACTACAACAGAAATATAATTAAACTAGAACGAAATTTTAATTCAAATAGAATTGATCTAGTTCTAAACTAGAACAAATCTTGGGCATGTAATTACTTGAGGGCCAATCTATAGTTGTAACATTTACCTGAGAGTATCTATGCTTTGACTCTTTCTAATAGTCTATTTCCATTACAAATTCATAATCTTTTGAAATAAAAAAATATATTTCACAAGTATATATAAATATATTTCACTAGTGTGCCAACACTTCAGATTAATTTAAATATAGAGATTTTATTTTTAACACCCTAGAGTTAAGAAATAATTAACACATACACCCCACAGTGCAACACGGTGTAAAAATGTAGAAAAAACAACAATATTGATTCACTAATAAAAGAAACAGCAACCATAATCATTTAACAAAGTGCCATTATCGTCATGTTTCCATATTTGCATTATCAGCAGCAATATTATGATCTTGAGCAGCAGAATGATACGAGAGAAAGCAAAGAAGATTATAAAAGGGACCTGTGACTGCATCGTTAGGTTTTTCTATTTTTGTTTTGATTTTTTTGTGTTTTCCTTCATTTCTGCTATAATTTTTTGGATTTTGGAAAATTTAAACAAAACAATTCAGAAAACAACAAAACTGGCTCAAGGACATTTGAAAAGTTTTCTACTTTTTTTCTTACTTTCTTCTTTTTTACACTATAAAATAGGAAGTGTATGCAGAAAAAATGGGTGTAACAGGAAGGTATATTTACTTAAGTATAAACTAGACAAAATGAAAGAAGAATAGATTTGTTTAAAGGAATTTATTGCAAACCAAAACTCACCTGCTGCAAAATGCAAGGGTGTTGATTTACGTCCAGCGGTATCTCGAGCATTTACTGTCTGCGGTGTGATTAATTTTTTCACTTTTGCTATATCACCCGTTTTACAGGCTTCGAAGAGCTCGCGTAATGGATCATTGGCCATGACCGCATCCAGGTTAACATTAAGTATAGCTCGACTGCGGCTGGTCATGGTGACACCAACAATAACAACATCAACATCAACTTTAGGTAGTTTTTTCTTCTTTTTTTGCTTTTTTTATAAAAGAAGACTCTTTTTTCTACGCCAATGTCTAGCGTTTTCTATATTTTTATCGTAAATTCATGCAAACACTCCAACAAACAGAGAACTCCCCATAAACAAGTAAAAGCAAAAACAACAAGAAAAATAAAAAACACCAAAGCAGCAGACAATGGGGGAAAATTTTTTTTCACAATTTTCAACTCTTTATTTTTCTAATTTATTATTAGAATTTTATATTTTGTTAAACTTTTTATATTTAATTTTAAGAATTATTTTCTTAAAAACACTTTAATTATTTTATTTTCTATTTATTTTTAGCTTTTAGCCGAAAAAAAATTATTTTTTTCCAACAAAAAAATTTCTCTTCCTTATTTTTTTCTGGTCTTCTACACACACATTTTTTTCTTTTTCGTTTTTTTCTTTATTTTACATTTTTTTATTAAACACTACACATTATTTGCTTTACCTAATTTATTTAGTGCACTTAAAACTAAATATTTTGCATAAATTTGTATTTTAATTTTATTTTTCAACAAATTTTTCTTAAAATTGATTATTTTATTGTATTTTTCGTTCAACAGCTGAAATTTTTATGTTTCGTCTTGAATAAAATGTCCCGTAAAACTGCAAAAGTGCACAACCAAAGACCTTCGTCGACAAACAAAAACTACACGGCGGCAGACCCTAAAGAGTACTGCGGCTGCTTTAAATCGAATAAGTCTTTTAGCTGTGTGTTTTAAATTTAATTTTTTTACGATATTACGAATTGTGAATAACGTGACCAGATGAAGGCGGGATTTTGGTAGAAAATAAGTTAAATAAATGGTTAAATAGTTAGTTAGTTAGTTAGTTAGCTAGTTAGCTAGTTAGTTAGTTAGTTAGTTAGTTAGTAGTTAGTTAGTAGTTAGTTAAGTTAGTTAGTTAGTTAGTTAGTTAGTTAGTTAGTTAGTTAGTTAGGTAGTTAGTTAGTTAGTTAGTTAGTTAGTTAGTTAGTTAGTTAGTTAGTTAGTTAGTTAGTAGTTAGTTGTTAGTTAGTTAGTAGTTAGTTAGTTAGTTAGTTAGTTAGTTAGTTAGTTAGTTAGTTAGTAGTTAGTTAGTTAGTTTAGTTAGTAGTTAGTTAGTTAGTTAGTTAGTTAGTTAGTTAGTTAGTTAGTAGTTAGTTAGTTAGTTAGTTAGTTAGTTAGTTAGTTAGTTAGTTAGTTAGTTGTTAGTAGTTAGTTAGTTAGTTAGTTAGTTAGTTAGTTAGTTAGTTAGTTAGTTAGTTAGTAGTAGTTAGTAGTAGTTAGTTAAGTTAGTTAGTTAGTTAGTTAGTTAGTTAGTTAGTTAGTTAGTTAGTTAGTTAGTTAGTTAGTTAGTTAGTTAGTTAGTTAGTTAGTTAGTTAGTTAGTTAGTTAGTTAGTTAGTTAGTTAGTTAGTTAGTTAGTTAGTTAGTTAGTTAGTTAGTTAGTTAGTTAGTTAGTTAGTTAGTTAGTTAGTTAGTTAGTTAGTTAGTTAGTTAGTTAGTTAGTTAGTTAGTTAGTTAGTTAGTTAGTTAGTTAGTTAGTTAGTTAGTTAGTTAGTTAGTTAGTTAGTTAGTTAGTTAGTTAGTTAGTTAGTTAGTTAGTTAGTTAGTTAGTTAGTTAGTTAGTTAGTTAGTTAGTTAGTTAGTTAGTTAGTTAGTTAGTTAGTTAGTTAGTTAGTTAGTTAGTTAGTTAGTTAGTTAGTTAGTTAGTTAGTTAGTTAGTTAGTTAGTTAGTTAGTTAGTTAGTTAGTTAGTTAGTTAGTTAGTTAGTTAGTTAGTTAGTTAGTTAGTAGTTAGTTAGTTAGTTAGTTAGTTAGTTAGTTAGTTAGTTAGTTAGTTAGTTAGTTAGTTAGTTAGTTAGTTAGTTAGTTAGTTAGTTAGTTAGTTAGTTAGTTAGTTAGTTAGTTAGTTAGTTAGTAGTTAGTTAGTTAGTTAGTTAGTTAGTTAGTTAGTTAGTTAGTTAGTTAGTTAGTTAGTTAGTTAGTTAGTTAGTTAGTTAGTTAGTTAGTTAGTTAGTTAGTAGTTAGTTAGTTAGTTAGTTAGTAGTTAGTTAGTTAGTTAGTTAGTTAGTTAGTTAGTTAGTTAGTTAGTTAGTAGTTAGTTAGTTAGTTAGTTAGTTAGTTAGTTAGTTAGTTAGTTAGTTAGTTAGTTAGTTAGTTAGTTAGTTAGTTAGTTAGTTAGTTAGTTAGTTAGTTAGTTAGTTAGTTAGTTAGTAGTTAGTTAGTTAGTTAGTTAGTTAGTTAGTTAGTTAGTTAGTTAGTAGTTAGTTAGTTAGTTAGTTAGTTAGTTAGTTAGTTAGTTAGTTAGTTAGTTAGTTAGTTAGTTAGTTAGTTAGTTAGTTAGTTAGTTAGTTAGTTAGTTAGTTAGTTAGTTAGTTAGTTAGTTAGTTAGTTAGTTAGTTAGTTAGTTAGTTAGTTAGTTAGTTAGTTAGTAGTTAGTTAGTTAGTTAGTTAGTTAGTTAGTTAGTTAGTTAGTTAGTTAGTTAGTTAGTTAGTTAGTTAGTTAGTTAGTTAGTTAGTTAGTTAGTTAGTTAGTAGTTAGTTAGTTAGTTAGTTAGTTAGTTAGTTAGTTAGTTAGTTAGTTAGTTAGTTAGTAGTTAGTTAGTTAGTTAGTTAGTTAGTTAGTTAGTAGTTAGTTAGTTAGTTAGTTAGTTAGTTAGTTAGTTAGTTAGTTAGTTAGTTAGTTAGTTAGTTAGTTAGTTAGTTAGTTAGTTAGTTAGTTAGTTAGTTAGTTAGTTAGTTAGTTAGTTAGTTAGTTAGTTAGTTAGTTAGTTAGTTAGTTAGTTAGTTAGTTAGTTAGTTAGTTAGTTAGTTAGTTAGTAGTTAGTTAGTTAGTTAGTTAGTTAGTTAGTTAGTTAGTTAGTTAGTTAGTTAGTTAGTTAGTTAGTTAGTTAGTTAGTTAGTTAGTAGTTAGTTAGTTAGTTAGTTAGTTAGACCGAAGAATACTTCTCTAATTGATTGTGCTGCACTAAATACGAACTTCAGTGTTCACCTATAATATTAATTGTTTGAGATATCATGCCTCAAGGTTAAAAAAAACCCTGTTTAAGAGGTTATAAAAGCGCGAACACACCTTTATTTATAAAAATTATTATGTCATCTGAAAGTAAAATCAGTCGATTTTAAAATACAAATTTAAACTTTGTTATATCCTATTCCTTCTTCGAGATATCTTCACCAAAATCATGAAATATGTATGTGGCGAATATTTTTCAAGTCATCTTAAGTTAAAACATTTTCAACGACGTCTTTTAAATTTTATCAGCGGCTTTCGCGCACACACATAAACCTACTTATAAACAAATGTAATTGTTACTTTGCAGACCGTTTGAGGTCGCTGCTGTGAAACAATATAATACAATGTGGCCACTTCATACACTTAGAAAAATTATTTTAGTTTATTTTTAATGGCCAAAAAATGTTTTATCAAATAAGATTTAAAAATAACAAAAGTTATACGTTGTTCATAAATGGAAAAGTTAAATCAATGAATGGTTTAATATCGTGGTAGTTTACTGCGCATCCCGTCTTTGGTCATATTTAATATATAATAGCTCAAAGACATCTTTATTTATTTTGTCATTTGAATGTTCAATCTGTCGACTTGAAAATAAAGGTGGGCTGGACTGGAAAATAAGATGTGATAAGAGAAATTCGGTTTCAGACCTGCCTGGAAAACTACACGTTGGTTATTCAAGATAAAAACGTTAACGTTAACTATTTTTCCTTAAACCCACATCTGGCAACTCGTGCTGTAAAAACCTTGACAACCACCTGCAAAACAACAACAAAATACACATAGTAAACAAACAAGAAATCAAAGTAGAAAACAAAAATCGAAATGAAAACCTGATAAAATGTCAGTAACAAAAGAAAATAACTAAAAAGGGCAAAATGGCGTTTTTGTAGTTGTAAAGTGGTAGTGACTGAAACACTCGTACTAAAAAAATAAGGAAAATTCTTTACTATTGGATAATTTTCATTGAAAGAATCTCATTAAATACTAATTAAAATTAAGTTAAGCAGAATAAAGATAAGAAAAATAGTGCAGAAAATCTTACAGAATGTGAAAGAGAGAGAATTAAATTATTGTTGAAGTAAATCTAATCCAAGAAAGACACACTCAGAAATGAAAAAGTAAAATATACACATCTTTAAAAAGAAACAAGAAAAAAGAGTTCTTAAAAGAATAATTAATAAAATTTTAAGCAGTATAATTAACTAAAATTTGTTAAAGCATATAAAAAAGAAAAAAGTTAATGGTTTCAAATGGTAAAAATGTGTTAAAAATCATTGTGGCCCCAAACCAACGACCTCAATCAATAAATTTTGTGTGCTTATTGTTTTTGTATGTCAAACTCCAATGGACATAAAAATGTTGTGTGTCACCAATTAAGGTGCTGCCGTGTGAAGTGTTTGTTGTGTGCATTGACTGCAAAAAAGAAGAAAAATTAAAGAAAATTTTTTTTATTAAAGTGCAAGTGAGTTTTTTCTTTTTTTTTCCTACTGGATTTTATAAGTGCAACAAGAAAAACTACAGCAATTACAACAACGAAGTGAAAACAAAGAAAAGGGAGAATTAGTGAAAAACGAAGAAAAAGAAAAGTAAATTTAGTGTATCATTAAAAAGTGAATTAATTTGTATAACAAATAATTTGTTGTTTTGTAAATTTATGGTATTGAAATATGTTTTCCTATTTTTTTGCAATGTTTCTGTAATTTATAAAAGAGGCCAGAAGGAAAATTTCTTTTGAAAAAAGAGAAAATTTATGATATTTTTGGGCAGTAATTGCCATTTAATTGCTAAATGAAATTTGACTTACCGATAGATCTGCTAACGGAAAGAGTTGTAAATACAGGTATGTAGCTATAGTCTAGACTCTAGAATTTAGTCTAGTCTTAGACTGACAATGAACTAGACTATAAACTAACTACTAGAATATAGAGTAGACAATATAATAATCTATAGAGTAGACTATAGACTCGACTAAAGACTAAACTATAGACTAGTCTATAGACTAGACTATAGACTAGACTATAGACTAGAAAGAGTTGTAAATACAGGTATGTAGCTATAGTCTAGACTCTAGAATTTAGTCTAGTCTTAGACTGACAATGAACTAGACTATAAACTAACTACTAGAATATAGAGTAGACAATATAATAATCTATAGAGTAGACTATAGACTAGACTATAGACTAGACTATAGACTAGACTATAGACTAGCTTATAGACTAGACTATAGACTAGACTATAGACTAGACTATAGACTAGACTATAGACTAGACTATAGACTAGCTTATAGACTAGACTATAGACTAGACTATAGACTAGACTATAGACTAGACTATAGACTAGACTATAGACTAGACTATAGACTAGACTATAGACTAGACTATAGACTAGACTATAGACTAGACTATAGACTAAACTATAGACTAGACTATAGACTAGACTATAGACTAGACTATAGACTAGACTATAGACTAGACTATAGACTAGACTATAGACTAGACTATAGACTAGACTATAGACTAGACTATAGACTAGACTATAGACTAGACTATAGACTAGACTAGACTACTAGACTAGACTATAGACTAGACTATAGACTAGACTATAGACTAGACTATAGACTAGACTATAGACTAGACTATAGACTAGACTATAGACTAGACTATAGACTAGACTATAGACTAGACTATAGACTAGACTATAGACTAGACTATAGACTAGACTATAGACTAGACTATAGACTAGACTATAGACTAGACTATAGACTAGACTATAGACTAGACTATAGACTATACTATAGACTAGACTATAGACTAGACTATAGACTAGACTATAGACTAGACTATAGACTAGACTATAGACTAGACTATAGACTAGACTATAGACTAGACTATAGACTAGACTATAGACTAGACTATAGACTAGACTATAGACTAGACTATAGACTAGACTATAGACTAGACTATAGACTAGACTATAGACTAGACTATAGACTAGACTATAGACTAGACTATAGACTAGACTATAGACTAGACTATAGACTAGACTATAGACTAGACTATAGACTAGACTATAGACTAGACTATAGACTAGACTATAGACTAGACTATAGACTAGACTATAGACTAGACTATAGACTAGACTATAGACTAGACTATAGACTAGACTATAGACTAGACTATAGACTAGACTTGTCTAAAGTATAGTCTATAGTCTTGTTTATAGCCTAGTCATAGTATAAAGGACGTATGCACAGCACAATTTACCCCCGTCATTTAAATAATTAACCGACAAAAACCCTACCTTTAAATTCTTCTTTTCTGAACGTCCCTCTCAACAAATATGTATGTTATACAAAATACACAACAATTTAGAAAATAACATTAATCTGACAAATAAAGTTGTTTTCCGCTACAAGTTGCATTAAAACAAATCAATATTTGATATTGTTGTAATTGCTGTCAACATTTTATCTATTATAATTTAAATACAGAGCGTGCTGGTTTATTATTTGATGTCATTACGCTACGTTGCACATGTTAAGCTTCACTTGTTAACATACAACACGAAACATTTAAATGTATTTAATTAGTATTTAAACTAAAAAAAAAAAACAAAATTCAAACAAATCAAATTGTATAACAAAAAACTACAAAAATATATCAAAGAACACTTTCCTTCAATTTTAGCCGGCCAACACCTAATTTAACATTTAACGTTGTTATGGCAAATTAGTCTTCTGGTATCAACTCTGCGAAAAGGGTGCTAGTTTTTTAATAAAAAAATATTGAAATTTTGTCTCAACAAAATTGGAGTTTCAACAATTGATTTAGCAGAGAAAGTTTTAAAAATATCTAAAAAAAAACTTCATCATGGAACTAAAAGTATGGGTTGAAGGTATACAACGTATTGTTTGTGGAGTTACGGTGAATACAACATGTCAAGTAAGTGGAAAATATAACTTTTTTGTTAAAAAACATTACAGAATACTTAATTAACTAATTTTTTTCATTAATCTCTTTTCCAGGATGTCGTTTTTGCTTTGGCTCATGCTACGGGCAAAGTGGGACGTTTTACTTTAATAGAACGTTGGCGTAATAATGAAAGGCTGCTGGCACCAAATGAAAATCCTTTAAAATTATTATTGAAATGGGGTGAATATGCTAATGATGTACAATTTATATTGCAACGTTCAGAAAGTAAACAACAACAGCAGCAACAGTTACAGCAACATATGAAACAAGAAACGCAACAACAACAACAACAGAATACAACTAATAATAACAATAATAGTAATAATATTATTAATAATAATAATAACAACAACAACAATAATAATAATAACAATGAAAGCACAACTGTGATGTTAAATAAAAAACCTTTGGGTTTAAGCAATATTAATAACAACAACAACAATAATAACAATAATAATAGTAATTTAAATAAACAAAACAATAATAGTTCTAGTAATACAATTGATAATGCATTAAATGCTAATACAACAACAACTGCAGCAGCAGCTACACAGCAACAACAGCATCAAAAACCTTTAACCATGGAATTGAGCTTAAATGCTGCACATGAACGAGCCAAAGAATTGAAGAAAAGTTTTGGGTAAGTTGAGGAAATCAAGAGAATAAAGAGAAATTTTACGAAAAATTTCTATAGAAAAGAGAAATTTTCCGAAAAATTTCTATAGAAAAGAGATGTTTTCCGAAAAATTTTCTATAAAAAAGAGATGTTTTCCGAAAAATTTTCTATAAAAAAGAGCAATTCTCCGAAAAATTTTCTATAAAAAAGAGCAATTCTCCGAAAAATTTTCTATAAAAAAGAGCAATTCTCCGAAAAATTTCTATAAAAAAGAGCGATTCTCCGAAAATTTTCTATAGAAAAGAGAAATTTTCCGAAAATTTTCTATAGAAAAGAGAAATTTTCCGAAAATTTTCTATAGAAAAGAGAAATTTTCCGAAAATTTTCTATAGAAAAGAGAAATTTTCCGAAAATTTTCTATAGAAAAGAGAAATTTTCCGAAAATTTTCTATAGAAAAGAGAAATTTTCCGAAAATTTTCTATAGAAAAGAGAAATTTTCCGAAAATTTTCTATAGAAAAGGGAAATTTTCCGAAAATTTTCTATAGAAAAGGGAAATTTTCCGAAAATTTTCTATAGAAAAGGGAAATTTTCCGAAAATTTTCTATAGAAAAGGGAAATTTTCCGAAAATTTTCTATAGAAAAGGGAAATTTTCCGAAAATTTTCTATAGAAAAGGGAAATTTTCCGAAAATTTTCTATAGAAAAGGGAAATTTTCCGAAAATTTTCTATAGAAAAGGGAAATTTTCCGAAAATTTTCTATAGAAAAGGGAAAATTTCCGAAAATTTTCTATAGAAAAGGGAAAATTTCCGAAAATTTTCTATAGAAAAGGGAAATTTTCCGAAAATTTTCTATAGAAAAGGGAAATTTTCCGAAAATTTTCTATAGAAAAGAGAAATTTTCCGAAAATTTTCTTTAGAAAAGAGAAATTTTCCGAAAATTTCCTATAGATAAGAGAAATTTTACGAAAATTTCCTATAGATAAGAGAAATTTTACGAAAATTTCCTATAGATAAGAGAAGTTTTCCGAAAATTTTCTATAGAAAAGAGAAATTTTCCGAAAATTTTCTATAGAAAAGAGAAATTTTCCGAAAATTTTCTTTAGAAAAGAGAAAATTTTTCTATAAAAGAGATTTTCTATAAAAAGGGAAATGTTACCATAGAAAGATACATTTTTTGAAAAATTTCTATAAAAAGGAAAATTTTTGAAAAATTTTCTATAAAAAAGAGAACTTTTGGAAAATTTTCTATAAAAAATATAAATTTTTTTATAAAAAAGAAGCTTTTCGAAAATTTTCTATAAAGAAGAGATTAGAAAAGTGAAATATATTGAAAATTTCCTACAAAAAAGATAATTTTTTGAACATTTTCTATTAAACAAGAAAAGTTTTTTAAAAAATTTTCTATAAAAAGCTGTTTTTTGAAAAATATTCCAGAGCAAGATTAACTTTTAAATAAATTGTTTTTAATTTCTTTATTTTCAGTGCCGTTCATGATGCAAAATACTCTGAAAATATTGGAATTGTTAAGGGCATACCACAGCGTAATAACAACAATTTAACGGCGGCGGCAGCTGCTACAACAACAAAAACAACAACCACTACATCATCAACATCTTTAATACCACGTCATGAAAAATCTCATTCAAATCCCATTGAAATGCCATCAAATGCTAGCAGTGCTAACAATAACCTTGGAAATTTTGATGCTGGCAATATTTCATTTAAAGGAAATGGTGCTTATCAAGAACAAAACAATAACAATAACAACCACAATAATACAACAAATAATATTTATCAACAATTGGGTGCTCATAATAGTAAATCTATAAATGAAATTAATTTAGCTGAAGTACGTAATGCTTTAGATCGTCGTAATATGCTAACGACAGCAACAACAACAACGAATAATGCTGCTACTGCAAACACAACCCAAAATTCAAGTATGGGTGGTAGTGCTGAAATAATATTTAGTAATACAACACAACCAACTTTAAATATGAACAATTCGAATCAAAGCAACGAAAATCTTTTAGATATATTTAATGGCAATACACTAGCAACTGTAACAACAAATGGCAATAATTCTAATACAAATAATAATGCAAATAGTAAATTTTCATCTAATTCACCTAATGATTTATATAAACAAGCTACAACTATATCGGCAAATGGTGCTCTAGTACCACCACCCTATAGAGATCCACCACCGCCACGTAATAGTCCTCTGCAGCAGCAGCTTAATTCAAATTTCTCTTCACAATCGGTTTCACCACAACATCCGGCCAATGCTTTATATTCCAATCAACCATTGTCACCAACTACACAACAGCAACAATCAGATTATGCCGACTATGCGGATTATCAGCAAATAAATGATTTAGTTTTGCCTACAAATATGGATGAAAGTGAAAGTATTTTCCAGGCCACACAATACAATGATCTCTTGCAATTGATCAAGTTTCAGCGTGAGAAAATCAATCAACAACAAATGGAGTTAAGTAAAGTAAGTTAATAAATAAATAAATAATCTGATTATAATAATGAAACTATTAATTTGTTTTCTTTCTAGTATGATGCTGAAATTGTTTATTTGGAGTCTAAGGAACGTGATCAGGCTCAAGAATTAGAAGCTATATCTAGAGAAATCACCAAGGCTGATCAATTGTTTCGTCAAGGCAGTGAACAGGTAATAATTTGCATGTTAATTTTTTACTAAAAGTTTTCTATATAATTTTTTCCTTTTATTTTAGCTACAAACTTTGCAATATGTTGAAGAGGAAAATGAATTGGTTAAACAACAAGAGAAAACTTTGAAATCCGAAATTGCTTTGCTGCGTTCAAAATTGGCCAATTGTGAAACGGAACTGTTGCAATGTAAAAATAAAATTCGTCTTCTAATGGATGATATAGAAATTGAACAGAGAGCTATAACAAATTCTAAACAGAATATAAGGTAAGAAAGAAAATTGAAACAAAAGATAATTTTTCGGAAATTTTTGTATAAAAAAGATAAATTTCTGAAAAATTTCTATAAAAAATAGAAATTTTCCGAAAAATTTCTATAAAAAATAGAAATTTTCCGAAAAATTTCTATAAAAAATAGAAATTTTCCGAAAAATTTCTATAAAAAATAGAAATTTTCCGAAAAATTTCTATAAAAAATAGAAATTTTCCGAAAAATTTCTATAAAAAATAGAAATTTTCCGAAAAATTTCTATAAAAAATAGAAATTTTCCGAAAAATTTCTATAAAAAATAGAAATTTTCCGAAAATTTTCTATAAAAAAGAGAAATTTTCCGAAAATTTTCTATAAAAAAAGAAACTTTCCGAAAAATTTCTATAAAAAAAGAGAAATTTTCTATAAAAAGAGAAACTTTCCGAAAATTTTCTATAAAAAAGAGAAACTTTCCGAAAATTTTCTATAAAAAAGAGAAACTTTCCGAAAATTTTCTATAAAAAAGAGAAACTTTCCGAAAATTTTCTATAAAAAAGAGAAACTTTCCGAAAATTTTCTATAAAAAAGAGAAACTTTCCGAAAATTTTCTATAAAAAAGAGAAACTTTCCGAAAATTTTCTATAAAAAAGAGAAACTTTCCGAAAATTTTCTATAAAAAAGAGAAACTTTCCGAAAATTTTCTATAAAAGAAACTTTTCGAAAATTTTCTATAAAAGAAACTTTTCGAAAATTTTCTATAAAAGAAACTTTTCGAAAATTTTCTATAAAAGAAACTTTTCGAAAATTTTCTATAAAAGAAACTTTTCGAAAATTTTCTATAAAAGAAACTTTTCGAAAATTTTCTATAAAAGAAACTTTTCGAAAATTTTCTATAAAAGAAACTTTTCGAAAATTTTCTATAAAAGAAACTTTTCGAAAATTTTCTATAAAAGAAACTTTTCAAAAATTTTCTATAAAAGAAACTTTTCGAAAATTTTCTATAAAAGAAACTTTCCGAAAATTTTCTATAAAAGAAACTTTCCGAAAATTTTCTATAAAAGAAACTTTCCGAAAATTTTCTATAAAAGAAACTTTCCGAAAATTTTCTATAAAAGAAACTTTCCGAAAATTTTCTATAAAAGAAACTTTCCGAAAATTTTCTATAAAAGAAACTTTCCGAAAATTTTCTATAAAAGAAACTTTCCGAAAATTTTCTATAAAAGAAACTTTCCGAAAATTTTCTATAAAAGAAACTTTCCGAAAATTTTCTATAAAAGAAACTTTCCGAAAATTTTCTATAAAAGAAACTTTCCGAAAATTTTCTATAAAAGAAACTTTCCGAAAATTTTCTATAAAAAAAACTTTCCGAAAAATTTCTATAAAAGAAACTTTTCGAAAATTTTCTATAAAAAAAGAGAAACTTTCCGAAAATTTTCTATAAAAAAAGAGAAATTTTCCGAAAACTTTTTATAAAAAAGAGAAATTTTCCGAAAATTTTATAAAAAAGAAAAATTTTCCCAAAATTTTTTATAAAAAGGAGAAATTTTCCGAAAAATTTTTATAAAAAAGAGAAATTTTCGGAAATTTTTTTATAAAAAAGAGAAATTTTGCGAACATTTTCTATAAAAAAGAGAAATTTTGCGAACATTTTCTATAAAAAAGAGAAATTTTGCGAAAATTTTCTATAAAAAGAGAAATTTTCGAACATTTTCTATAATAAAACGAAAATTTTCTATAAAAAGAAGACATTTTCCGAAAATTTTTTATAAAAAGGACAAATGTTTTGAGAATTTTCGAATAAAAAGAGAAATATTTTTGAAATTTTCTATAAAAAAGAGAAATTTTCCCAAAAATATCTAAAAAAAGAGAAAATTTCCGAAAATTTTTCTATGAAAAAAAGAGAAATTTTCTATAAAAATTCGTTTTTTTTTTACTTTTCAGACAAAATGTCGAACGTGACTTTCTTATGGAAATGGAACGCATACAAACTGATATTGATCAAGCCATTCACAATACGGATTCGTCTAATAAAACAGCCGAAAGCTTGAAAAAGGAAATTTTGTTAATAGAAACTGCTATAGCAGAGAAAAAGCGACAGGTAAAGTTTTAAAAGAAAAACAACATTTAGAAATAATATTAATTATTCTTCTTTTAAAGGTGGAGCAATTGGTCAACGAAATGAAGGAAGTAAATCTACAAAGTTTAACCGTAACAACATCAGAAGAAATTAAACATTTATTGGAAGGTATGTTTAAGAAAAAAGTTAATAAATACGTCAAATAACATATATTCTTTTTCTATTCACAGGTTCTAATAAACCCGGCAGTAGTAGACGTATTATAGGTTCACCAAGACAATTAGAAAATGCTGTACCAACTAGTAAAAATCCTCATGGAGTTTGGGTTTAAATAGAAAAAAGCCCTAGTTAACTCCAGTAACTATTATAAACACATTTTTATTAACAATTTGTTAAACTACATATTTTTTCTCTCAGTTTTTGTTTAATTAACAAAGAAACAACAGCAAACACACAAAAACAAAATAACGAACTTATATATAGAAATAATCACAAAAAGGGAACAAAATATAATGGAATAAACAACCCGTATTAACCGAAACATATCGATATATTATAAAGGAAAAAATGAAATAGTAATTTAACACAAACAAACTACAGCTTATAAACAATTTAATATAACAAAAACAAGAAATTTATATTCAACATTTTTAAAGAATAATTCAAATATTCAAAAGAATTTTTTTGGGAAATTGCTAAAACTAGTAAAGGAATTAGTTGATGTGTTAGTTTTTTTCATCATATCTATAAACAGAAAGACGATCTCTTTACGTATATATCTAAAATATATTATTAATGAACAAAAAACTTTCATCATATCAAAAACAAATTTAACAAACATTCCATTTTATTCTAACACAAATTTTTGTTATACTTATTTAACAAATGTATTTTTTTATTATTCTAATTTTACTGCCTTTTTTTGTAAAAAATTTTTTGTTTATCGTTAATTTTTTATCACACAAAAGTTCAAATTTTTTTTGCGCGTTTTGCAAACAAATTTACAGGAAAGAATTAAATCAAATTTATATTTTTATTTAGGGGTTTGGTGTCGAAATTTTCCAGAAAAGTTTTTGTATTTTATTAAAAATGTACTTTGATATTTACTGTGTTTTGTTGCTATTATTGAATGTTAACGCTCAAAGTTAGCAACAAAATGAACATTAACTGACTTGGCATTACTTCAATGGAAAAATCAGCTAAATCTTGAAAATATTTGCAATTTCTTGAAAAAAAGTCTCTATTTGTTAATTTTTTGTAATATAAATTTTATTTTAAAATATTTTTTTATTATTTGACATTCACACATTCATATTTGTATTTTTATTTTTGAATTGGTAGCACTTTTATCGAAGTTAAAATTAACTTGTATAATTTTACACGTTAACTCCTAACGTGTATAAATTTTAAATTTATATGAAATTGCCTTTGAACGTTAGCAACAAAACACAACTATTAATATATTTTCTGTTTTCTGTTGAAGAAAAAGTATTAGTCGACATCAAACAAAATTATCGAATTCTCTAGTTATTGATCTGTTTGCTGACTATTTCAACTCCAAGTTTTCCATCAAACGAAAATTTTCTTACAAAGAGAAATTTTCCTTGAAATTTTGTATAAAAAATTTTCAGAAAATTTTCTATACAAAAGAGAAATTGTCCAAAAATATTCTATAAAAAAGAAAATTTTTTCGAAAAGTTTCTATAGAAAGGAGAAATTTTCAAAAATTTCAGTTCTGTTCTAGTTCAGTTCTAGTTCATTTCTAGTTCAGTTCTAGTTCATTTCTAGTTCAGTTCTATTTCAGTTCAGTTCTAGTTCAGTTCTAGTTCAGTTCTAGTTCAGTTCTAGTTCAGTTCTAGTTCTGTTCTAGTTCAGTTCTAGTTCAGTTCTAGTTCAGTTCTAGTTCAGTTCTAGTTCAGTTCTAGTTCTGTTCTAGTTCAGTTCTAGTTCAGTTCTAGTTCAGTTCTAGTTCAGTTCTAGTTCAGTTCTAGTTCAGTTCTAGTTCAGTTCTAGTTCAGTTCTAGTTCAGTTCTAGTTCAGTTCTAGTTCAGTTCTAGTTCAGTTCTAGTTCAGTTCTAGTTCAGTTCTAGTTCAGTTCTAGTTCAGTTCTAGTTCAGTTCTAGTTAAGTTCTAGTTAAGTTCTAGTTCAGTTCTAGTTCAGTTCTAGTTCAGTTCTAGTTCTGTTCTAGTTCAGTTCTAGTTCAGTTCTAGTTCAGTTCTAGTTCAGTTCTAGTTCAGTTCTAGTTCAGTTCTAGTTCAGTTCTAGTTCAGTTCTAGTTCAGTTCTAGTTCAGTTCTAGTTCAGTTCTAGTTCAGTTCTAGTTCAGTAGTTCAGTTCTAGTTCAGTTCTAGTTCAGTTCTAGTTCTGTTCTAGTGCTGTTCTAGTTCAGTTCTAGTTCAGTTCTAGTTTAGTTCTAGTTCAGTTCTAGTTCAGTTCTAGTTCAGTTCTAGTTCAGTTCTAGTTCAGTTCTAGTTCAGTTTTAGTTCAGTTCTAGTTCTAGTTCTAGTTCTAGTTCAGTTCTAGTTCAGTTCTAGTTCAGTTCTAGTTCAGTTCTAGATCAGTTCTAGTTCAGTTCTAGTTCAGTTCTAGTTCAGTTCTAGTTCAGTTCTAGTTCAGTTCAGTTCTACAGAAAATAGAAAATTTCCGTAAAAAGAGTAATTATTAAAAATTTTCTAAAAAAAAATTATTTTATGAAATTTCACTGAAATTCAAATGAAAAGATCAGCAGGACTGCAATTATTAAGTATTTTTACTAAATGTCTTGTATCTTTTAGTATTTTGTTAAAATTTATGTTTTTATACAAAACTCAATATAAAAGTGCTTCATTTATTAATTTTAAACAATTTAGTACTTATTTGTTTAATATTTTATTATATTTTTTTTGTTTAGTATTTTAAAATTTTAGCTATTTTTTTATAACTTAAACATTTAAGAGTCTAGTCTATAACTTGAAACTATAAAAAAGTCAATATAAAAAAAGTATATAAAAAACAAATCCAAAATATCTAAAGGAATTTTCAAAATCTTCCCTTTTTTTAAATTAAAAAAAAAAACATTAAGCCACCTAACGTTTATGCCATTATGCTTTAAATTAAACTATTAAAATCTTTTAAAAAAGTAAACTTAAAAAAGTTGCAATATTCTTTCTTAAAAAACAAAACACTTTTAATAAAATTAATGCCTTTTTAGTATTTAGTAGCTACTTAGTAATATTTTAATTAAAACCACTTTTCTAAACAATCAAAATTGTTTAAAGTCTTTGTTAATTGTTATTAAGTTTAAAAAAAAAAAAAAAACTAAGCAATTAAATAATAAAATTAAAGAAAAAGTCTTCAAGTCTTAAATAAAACATTTAAATTTCTATTTTTTAGTTAAAGTTTTTTTTTAAAAGTTTAACTTTTTTCCTTTTCAAAACTTAATTAGCTGTAGTAATTTAGTTTTTAAATAAACTAGTGTTTCTTCTTCGAATATGTGCTTTTAATTAAGTAGTTTTTTCATTAGTTATAAAAAAATAAACTATTTTCATTACGTCTTTATTTATAATTTAAATAATTCATAATTAGTTTAACTTTTAAGCCACAACTTTATCAAGAATTTTACTTAATATTAAAAATATTGTATTTCTTCAATCAAAATAGTTACTTTAAATATTGAAACAAACTCAAAAATATTCATATTTAGAACAAATTTCTTAAACAAAATGCAACAATAAAACAATAAATAAAATATATTTAAATAGCTGAAAAAAATAAATTGTTTAATTTAAGATTTATTGACCCAAAGGTAAGAAAAAATGCATGGTAATGCTGTGTTTCAGAAATATTCTATTAAAACCTTTAGGCAATAGATTAGATTAGTACATAGACTAGTCAATAGATTACTTCATAGACTAGTTCTAATTCATTTATATTCATTTCTACTTCAGCTCTAGTTCTTGTTTAGATCTAATCCTGTTCTAGTTTAGGGCCAGTTCAAGTTCAGTTCTAGTTCAGTTCTAGTTCTAGTTCTAGTTCAGTTCTAGTTCAGTTCTAGTTCAGTTCTAGTTCAGTTCTAGCTCAGTTCTAGTTCAGTTCTAGTTCTGTTCTAGATCAGTTCTAGTTCAGTTCTAGTTCAGTTCTAGTTCAGTTCTAGTTCAGTTCTTTCTAGTTCAGTTCTAGTTCAGTTCTAGTTCAGTTCTAGTTCAGTTCTAGTTCAGTTCTAGTTCAGTTCTAGTTCAGTTCTAGTTCAGTTCTAGTTCAGTTCTAGTTCAGTTCTAGTTCAGTTCTAGTTCAGTTCTAGTTCAGTTCTAGTTCAGTTCTAGTTCAGTTCTAGTTCAGTTCTAGTTCAGTTCTAGTTCAGTTCTAGTTCAGTTCTAGTTCAGTTCTAGTTCAGTTCTAGTTCAGTTCTAGTTCAGTTCTAGTTCAGTTCTAGTTCAGTTCTAGTTCAGTTCTAGTTCAGTTCTAGTTCAGTTCTAGTTCAGTTCTAGTTCAGTTCTAGTTCAGTTCTAGTTCAGTTCTAGTTCAGTTCTAGTTCAGTTCTAGTTCAGTTCTAGTTCAGTCATAGTTCAGTTCTAGTTCAGTTCTAGTTCAGTTCTAGTTCAGTTCTAGTTCAGTTCTAGTTCAGTTCTAGTTCAGTTCTAGTTCAGTTCAGTTCAGTTCAGTTCAGTTCTAGTTCAGTTCTATTTCAGTTCAGTTATTGTTCAGTTCTAGTTCAGTTCTAGTTCAGTTCTAGTTCAGTTCTAGTTCAGTTCTAGTTCACTTCTAGTTCAGTTCTAGTTCAGTTCTAGTTCAGTTCTAGTTCAGTTCTAGTTCAGTTCTAGTTCAGTTCTAGTTCAGTTCTAGTTCAGTTCTAGTTCAGTTTTAGTTCAGTTCTAGTTCAGTTCTAGTTCAGATCTAGTTCAGTTCTAGTTCAGTTCTGCTGTAGTTCTTGAAAGGGATATAATAAACGTTTTATAGCACTTTGGCGTATGATTAATAATAATTGTTTTCAAGATATAAATATTGCTCATCCGTAATAATACGAAAATTTTTCGAAACGTTTGTGATGTGAAAAAGTCTGTGAGTTAAAGTAAAGGCACACCTATAAGACTTCCAAATAAATATTAATAAAATTAAGACATACCCAGCAAAATCTTTTACTACCAAGTAAAATTTACTTACATAATAGCATTTTAAGTAATTATTTTAACACTGGAAGCAAGTACTTACCACAATAGCGTACAAGTAATTAGAAAAATTAAAATTTAAAAAATCGCGCGGAAAAACATATTTTCACTTAGCAGCTGTCTAATGAATTCATTACCAAGTTTTTGTTGGGAACTTATAAATATTACTTTTAGTAATTAATGAAATATTAATAGATAATTCTGCGAAAAAAAACCTATTAAAATAGGCTTCTCTCAATTTAAATGATGAAAATAATAATAAAATGCTACGTATTTCCTAAGTATTTATTCATAAAACATTAAAACGTATTGTGATAAACAATAACAAGATTTTTTATTACATTTACTGTGTAATTAACATATTCTTATTCAATTAATGAACATAATGTTAATAACAGTTTCCAACGAAATTAAAATATTAATCATACGTCAAGTATGTCTATGAAACTGTTAACAGTAACAGCATGTGTGTGTGTGTGTGTGCAGTAAAGTGGCCAATTGAAAAATGAAAATGATCATTGAGTAAAGAAAAACAACAACATTGTTGTTAGGAAATGTGTATGAGGAGAGAAAGTTTATCTGTTTGTGTGAGTTAAATCATTCACACAAACTATTTATGATTTTACGAGTAACTGTTCGTGTAGAGTTTTATATGCGGCAAATAAAACAAATGGTTGTTGCTGTTGTTGTTTTTTATTTTTATAGGGAAGCTGTGCGAACTGATACCATTTTGACTGTTAGATGTCTGTTGATATTTAGTTTTTTTGTTTTGTTTTCGTTTTTTTTTTTTGTTATTGTCTTGTGTGTGCGTGCTTGAGTGTTTGACTGTATGTTTTGTTTTATTTTTTCCCTTTTTGAACAAAAACAAAACCCTCAAAACAATCAGTTGTAAACGATACGTGCTGACAAAAGGATGTCCTGACGGTTAAATGGATAACGTTATATGTTTGAAAAAAAACATTGAATTGAAAAAGAAGAAACAAATAAATGACACAATGTAAAACATTTCTAACGGAAAACTATATATTTAACGGCTGCTTAAGTTGAAATAAATAAAATAATATAAAAAGGAATAAATCGAAAATTTACAAAATATTTAAAGAATTAATAAAAAAAGTGAAAGTGTTATAAAAAGTAATAAAAATATATATAAAAGAGTTTAATAAAACGTGTGTGTCTGTTAAAAGGCTGA